CTCCTCTCTGAATTTATAGTACCGTAGCAGAACAAAATACTGTGCAAAACATCAGGTATACAAGCATTTATTAAGCTGATGGTTTCTGGGGAGTGTCAGATCTTGTCCAAAATATTACTTAGATGGTAGCAACAACTTATCTTTCCTGGATATATTTTTAGGAGCAGCTGTTCTTCTATTATCCTTCTTGGGTAGCTAGTCCATCCACTCTCTCGTGATGAAGGGGCACATTGTAGTTAATACAGGTCTTTGTGTATTTACCACTGCCAAGACTAGAAGAGGCTTTTATGGCCATTTATCCTGCTTTGGTATAAGACAGATTGATTGCAGCATGCCAGCAAGCCAACACCTTTTGCAGCTTTAGTAATGTCACTGAATTTACTAGAACAAGATGCTGAAAGTTAGGTCCTAAATCTAGGGCCATTATAGATGATGGAAATCATCAGCAAGACTGAAATGCACCATCTGCAAGAATAACTGATGGGATGCTGCCATCTGCTCTAGCCTCAGTCATTGCTGTGATCCACAGACTGCTTGGTCTAAGGGGGTTATGTTCCTTCAGACCAGAAATAAAGGGTATCTTTTGTGAGGTTTGGCTGTTGACATATGCTTACAGCTGAAAAATAAGAAAATGTGTCTGAGAGAGAACACCTGGGGCTAAAGGTTTAACAGCATGAAGCTGTGTTGGGGTGGGGGGTTTAGGTTAGATACCAGGAAAAGGCTCTTCTCCCAGGGGCTTTTGGGGCCCTGGGATAGGCTCAGCAGGGAAGCAGTCACAACTCCAAGTCTGTCTGAGCTGAAGAATTGTTTGGACAATGCTTTTTGGCTCAGGGTGTGATTCTTGGGGCTGTCTTATTCAGGGACAGGAACTTGGTAATCTTTGTGGATCCCTTCCACCTCAGAAGGCATTATGGACATCGCAGGGGAATCATGTCTCTTCAAATAATCAGGTGAGGACAATTCTGCGTGATTCATGGTTTGAAAATGTTAATTTAGTTTTCTTGAGAGAAGGATGAAAAAGTTTGTGCAGACAACTTTTTCAGTATCAGTATTTTCTGTGTGTGTGTGTGTGTGTCACTATTTCTGGAAGATTTTCATCATGTCAGGCAACTCAGAGCTCTCAGCTCTGATACACTGAGTCAGCATCCCTACGAAATTCTTGGCTAAAGCTCTATTTTGAGTTATTGATCTTCATATTTCCATCACTTGATTCAAGCTGGAGTTTTTTCTTTCTTGGCCCTGTGTAAGGCAGAAGGGAAGAGGAGGCAGGATGTGTCCTTTATCAACCAAGCAGCTGAAACTCTACGTGGGAGCCAGCATTTCAGAGTTCATTTCAGAGCATTTCAGTTCCTTGGCATTTCAGAGTGCAGGGCAATGCCCCTTGCTAGGGCTCACTTTGCTTCTTCTGTGCTCCAGACACTGCCCAAAATTCCTTCTGCATTGTAAAAAGCTACAGTAAAGGGGAATGTGCCATCAGGAAGCCCTTAGCTGCCATCCAGGGCAACCCAGATGGAGCCCAGTCTTGCAGGCCAGAGTGCAAGATCAGGAGAGCTCCCAAGAATAAAGTTACCCTTCCCCAAAGCTTCCCCTCCACATATTACCTATCTGACACTCCTATTAAAATCACATTTGCTCTTCTCCTCACACATTGTGCCTCATCAAAGGCCTGGTAAGAGATTTAGAGGTGTGAAAATCTTGGGTGAGGCTCAGTGCAGGGTGTCTGACTCACATGCAAGTACCGCTTACTATAACCAAAGTTTCATACAAACAAGAGGATACAAACTATCAGATGGGCTACAAATCTACTTTTTGTAGTCTTCCTTTTCTAGTAGATCAAATAATAATATTTTTTATAATTATATTTTCTTCTTTTTTTTTTTTTTTAATAAGCCTCAGGCATGCATGTTTATTGGCTCATCACTAAGCTGAGAACTTAGAGCTGGGAACAGCTGCATATTATCTCTTGAGGTGTTGCCTTCAGATGTGGGGGGACTCTGTCACCTCCACAAGGAAATGTGAGTATGATACTTACATTCCCCGTGAGGAAACTGTGTGCTGTCTTACAAAGAGCAGAAGTGTAAAGGAAAGAGCAAGCCACAAAAGCAAATGTATGAGTGCAGCGTGCTGTGGCTTCTGCAGTGGAAACAATGCTGCAGAGAGAGAGAGAGAGCAAGGATGTGCAAAGACACAGCCCATTGTTGTGGCTGTGCTCAGTTCTCTGCTCTCCTGTGTGTCAGAAGATGGGGATGTGTAGCAATGCAATGGGCTAAACAGGGCTCCAGCATCCTTAGCTTGATGCTAAGGACAGGCCTAACTGAACCAGGCCCAGCAGCACTGTGCTGGAACACATCTATTTTTCTATCACTGCCCGGGTTTTCTAGCTGACTTTGTTTAATCCAGTGGTGTTACTTCCTGTGTGAATAGAGAGGGTGTCTGCAGTGAGAAGCGTGTGAGAACACTGCTATCTACAGCTCACCTTGTCCTGCCCAGCACAGCTTGGGCCAGTGTCTGGGCTGTGGCTACACAAAGCTCCAGCCACAGCTCTCTCTGTGCCTCTCCCTCCACCTGGGAGGGCATTTCTGGCTGGTGCAGGGGCTGCTCTGGCAGTGCTCTCTGCTGTAGCTGTTCTCAGGATGTTTATGCCATGCCACATCTCTGAAGGTACATGCTGGCTTCTAGAGCTCCTCTGTGCCTGCAGCCCAGAGCTGCTGTTCTTTCCAGAGACACCTTCAGGCACCTTCTCAATGCCTTCTCTGGGGCTCTCCTTGAAGGGAAAACAGAGATGTCAGTGCAACAACTTAGAGTGCTTTCTTCCAAGTAACATCCAAAAAAATCCTTCTTCTAAAATGGAGATCAAAGCCCAGTCAGGACTGCAGCAAGATGTTGCTTTGCTTTTCAAGAGAGAAGGCTAAAGCTGGCAGAATATTGACATTTCCTCACTTGTCATCGGGCAGGAAGACTGAGCTTAGAGACATGGGCTGCTTTGTCTTTCTCCAGCTGGGTCTGATGGTGTGGGAGGTTTCAGAGGCTGCTTAAAAAAGGGGCTGCTTTTGGGACAAACCATGCCAGGATCTCATGGGGAATTCTTGCTGCAGGTAAGTGATGCAGGTTTGGCTGTGCTTGTGACTTTTGTTACTCAAAGTCTTGCAAGTGGATTTTGTGCATGTGCACCAAGTACTCAGGAATACCAAGGCCTGGTATCACTTCTGTGGTGTCCAGTGACCATGGGACATCAGCCACTGAGCCCTCAGCTTTCCTCTCAAGTGCTTCTTCACTGCTCACAGGAAGGTCATTTTTGAACAGACATTTTATATCCTTTACGAATGGGTTCTTGCTCCTGCCTACCTGTTGCTCCAACAAAGCAAAGCAACAAAGCAAGCAGGATGTTTGGTGAGCTGGTTTGCTGGACCGTAGGGGCTTTTGGTGTGACCCATTTCAGCTGTGAGTTTAGGAGATTGTGTGTGGCACGTGGCATGCCAAACTGATTAACTGGGAGCAGTGGCCTTCATGATGAATAAAGGAATACTTTTACACCTGGTTCTACCACTAAGGAGCTTTACCTGTCTTCTCTCTCTCACATTCACACAGTCACACATCTTTCTATTTGCATTTCATTTTTACCATGACAATTCCCACCCCAGTGTGCTGGCAGTGTGAACACACCAACAAACAGACAATGTGCAGGGGTACCCTGGAAGCAGGAGGTGGCTTTGAGGGATGTTTCCCTGAAAAAGAATGGAGACAAAGTTGAGCAGAGACAGTGGTTTCACCATGCTGGGCCTCCCTCTCCTCTGCTTGATGGATCCAGCACAAAAGCCTCAAAAAAACTGAGGAGAAATCAGGGTTGCTGCCTTTGCCCAAATTTTTTAGGTGCTGGGGCTGGAAGCAGATGTGTCCAAGAGTTTAACACAGCTTGCTTGGCTGAGGAGATACCCAAATGTGGCAGTCCCTGCCCTCAGCTTGTTTCTTGCCACAGAGGGTGGAGGTCAGGCACAGAAATGTGATCTTGCTGCTGTTGCTTCCTCTCTCCTTTTGTGTATGCCTCCTTTGTGTGTTCTTTGGAAGGAAACAGTAGCAGAAAGAAGGAAGAAAAACTAGGTTTTCCTGCAAGGAGTGTTTGTTTTAACCTCATTAATACCAGTAAAAAATTATTAAGCAGGAGAAGGGGAGATGTCTTACAAGATCTTCCTTTAACCTCAAGGAAAAGGAATGACATGAACGAACAAGATTTATCTGCTATTGTACATTTCTAGTGCCACAGATTTTCTTTTGTCTTCTTTCTTGGCCTACATCAGTGACAAAAAGCTGGAAGACTTCAGTGGCTGCTGAAGCAGAGGAATTATGCTGGTGAGGATAAGAGTCAAAATCCTCACCACTCCATCTGTTTTGTATTGGAATCAGGAATAAGGACTTTATTATCTTCTCACATGATTTTGGACCTAGCTCCTCACAGCTCCTTTCCTCACTGTCTTTCCCACATCAGCCAGCTTCAGGGCTGGTTTGTGGCTGGATCAAGGCAGTGTTCTCACCCCCTTCCATGCTCATGTCTCTCACAGCTTGCTGGGGTGGCTGGCCCTGCCTGCAGGCAGTTTGTGCCTCTGGCCAGCCCCTCATACACCAGATGTTGATGCCAAGCTGATCCTGATGGCTTCCAAGGGAAGTGTGTCTCTTTTTCAAGTGTTGTCCAACAGCCACCTGCTCCTCACTGGGGCTCCTGGGCTTTCTTTCTGCTGCTGCTGAGGCTGTGGGGGAGAATTAGGATTCCTATCACTCCCCCACCCAAAACCTGCATCCCTCCCACCACGATGGTGGTATGTGGGTGCTGGAACTGAGCTCTTCAGGTGAGCATTGAGGAGGACAAGGGCCCTATCTGTCCCTCCAGCTGAGTGGACAAACCTCCAGGGCATTCCTGCATTTTAGTGCCTATTTTCTTTGTGTCTCCATGTCGCCTCCATGCAGACAAAACACTGTTGGGGCTTGTTTCCGCCTCTGCTAGAAATGAGAAGTGCTGGAGGAGAGGAGGAGGGCACAAAGGCTGTGCCGACATGTCCCATCACTGCTCGCTCACAGCAGAAAACCTTTTCACCTGCCAGGAGCTATCACTAGACAAGGCAACACTGGATGTTTTTTGACCCTGAAAATGAACTTTAGGAGGATTTTCCTAGTCAAGTGCTTGCTGCTTTTATTTCCCACTGTAAAATGTGAGTTTTTCTTACAGTTTTTTTTTTTTTTTGCTCTTTTGGGCTGATGTTAAAATTGTATTTTAAAGCATTTACAACTTGGTGGGCTGCTACTGATAAGAAACTTGTTCCACTTTTCCAATGAGTGAAGACATCTGGGTTATTGCTATTATTATTTGATTTAATTTTCAGCCAGGGGGAGGGCAGGACCTGAGTTTCCTATTCCAGTTATAATAATAAGCTGTAAAGAGTTTTGGTTTTAAGTTAATGAGCCTTAATTTGACACATGTGTAATGAGAAATGTCAGCATACAGTTTGCTTTCTGCCCTCGAGGCAGCTTGTATTACATTAGAGATCCAGTTCACTGTGCATTATCGCATATAATTTCCTTTTCTTATCAAAGATGTGCAAATCTTTTGAAAGTACAATTTATATTCTTCCATAAATATTAAAAGAGTGATATATTTCAGTGTCTTCAGTGGAGCTGGAGTTTAAGATGTGAAAACAGCAAGCAACTACATATATTTTTTATACTTTGCATATTATTGTTCTCATTATTTTTTAAAATATTAATCTAAAAACTTAATTAAGGTGTTAACTCATAGATTAGAGAAGGTTTTAAGAGATGGAGACAATACAAGCCTGCATAATTTTTTTCCCCCTCGGTTTCATTCCACTAAGTTTGCATGTATGGCTGTTTAATGCTTTGCTTTTCCTTCAGAACAAAATTAGTAGATAAATAAGGATTTCTTCTTTTTATGTACACAATCTATAAAACATCTTCTCTAGCAGAAATAAGGATTATTCCCTTGAATGGAAAATTGTTTCAGAGACTTCCTTACTTCTCTAAAATTACTATTTGAGCTTTTTCTTTTAACTCTTTCTTGTGACTGTGAGTGAGATGTAGTCTCTGAGTTAAAGCCTTTCTGCCCCTTGGAGCACATTTTAGCTGGCATTTTTATCAGATGTGTTGTTTCATTAGCTAAACAGATTTTTAGTATCATACGTGTGGGATACTCAGCTTTCCACTAGAAACACTGTGGAGATCAGATCAATATCTAGAGATGCCTCTGGTCCACAGAGATGCCATTGAATTATCCTTGAGAACTCAGATTACTTTCTTTCTTTACTTCCAGAGAGAAAATCTAAGTAGTGTCTGTTATACAAAGAAATCCTATTACTATCTCTAAATACTTGTTCATGACTGAGCAGAAGCAAGTATCAGAATTCAAATATCTGGGTATAACATGTAGTGTCATCTGTGTGGGGCATAGCTGCTTCTAAGGCTGTTTAGTTGATAACTTTATTTCAGGACATTTAATTAGATATCTCAAATACCTTGTAAGAAAGGCAATGCTGAAAGAACAACCTCTCTTTAGAGGTGGTGAATTGCCAGAAGCACTACAGCATTAATGTTCTTGTTGCAGAGGCATGCTATTTTAGTCCTCTGATTATCTCTAATATTGTTAGTTTAATGAAATAGCCACTGGGTTTCAGTTTCCCCTCTGTGGTGCCATTTATCATTATCCTAGATACAAGGAGTGAAGGACTGTAATAAAAATATGCATAAACACAGGTTTATTCTCTCTGTGGGGAAAAAAGTACTTAAAATACATAAAATTAGGGCAGAATCAGCTCTATTGATGGGAAGGGAAATCTCCTCCTGCTGATTGGCTTCACCCTGTACATTGAGGAGGCATGAACACAAGAAAATGACAAACTAAATAAGCTGTGGCTCAGGGCACGTGCCTTCAGGTCTGGGTGAGCTTATCCCACTTGACAATTGCACACAGATTTCACCCTCCTGCAGGTTTGTCCACCTGCCACGGGGCTGGGGACAGTTCCTCACTTGAAATGACCTCCCAGCAAAGTTTCCCAAGTCCTGGCTCACCAGAAATGGGGCCTGCAGAGACGGTGGCTGAAGCAGCCTGGAGCGGAGCGGGCAGAGCACCCAGGCACTGCTCCAGGAGTTCATCCTCCCCACTGCTGGAAACATGGAGGATGTTTAGTGAATATCCCCATTGGCAGCCCCATGCTCAGGTGCTTCTCAGTCCTGACACTCCCTTTGGGAAGCTCCTATTCTTCTCTGTTCTGGAGAAGGGACCTGGAATCAAAGGAAGAGAAGATTTTTGAGGTTTGTTTTGGCAATAGCTTTTCTTGTAATGACTCCTGCAGCCCCTCAGTTGACAGGATGCTGGTGGCTGTGTCTTCCTGCCTTACCTGCCCCATCAGGATCCTATGCTAGAAAAATCAAGTGGATACATTCCAGTGGGGCAGAGTAACTGGGATAGGAGGCCGGGGGGGCACTGCTGTGGGTGTGCCTCCAGTTCAATGTCTTACACTCACTCACAGCTTGAAATGGGCTACCATTATTAGCATCATTGCTGTCACTGGGGTGGCTGAAATGCTTCTGCTGTTCAGGGCTGTGACTGTTTTTGCTGTCTGCAGTAATATTTGCAGTGATGGACTCTCTGGGTGCCAGCCTGTGCCATGTGCAAAACACAGAAGGGACCTTCTTTTCAGGAAGGGCTAAGTTCATGTTAAACTGAATGGGAGGCCATGAATCTTGGCATCCAGAGTCACTCCAAGTAAGTCAGCCAAGGTATAAATTCAGCTTTTGAAAGCTGGGCTCTTAGCTTTCCTGCCTCTCAGAATTAAATTGGATGCTGGCATTTATCTAAAGAACAATCAAGAAATATTTTGGAGCAGGGGAAGAAGATGGCATCAGTGAAGCAGAGGGGCTTAGGAAGGTCAGGAAGGGGTGGCATAGCAAATGACAGCCTTTTGGGTGGCTGCTGGACACAACTGAGGGGCTGTGCTTCCCTCGACAGGCTCCAGCACCAGTTGGATTTACAAGGCGGTGAACGAGACAGCTCTTCTCAGCATCACTGCTCCTGGGAACATCTACGAGGCAACATGGAGGAGAGAGGGACAAAGGCTGGTTCAGATCAAAGATAACAAAGCTAGGCACTTTGTGAACAAGGAGCAGTGCAGGTGTGCCATACTCCGGAACGGGACGCTGCAAATCCAGCGCGTGGAGAAAGCAGACAGCGGAAACTACACGGTGATGGTTTATCAGAAGGATGGAAAACTGAAGGCGGAAGAAAATGTAATATTCTTTGTTCAGGGTGAGTTTTTGCTTTTCCAATACCATGCCCATGACTGCTGAACAGGACTTGGTATTGTCTGCTCTCTCCCACAGCCTTTCCTACTCAGTGCCCTCCTTTCTGATGAGGAGTGGGGTGACTTCTGTAGGACATACCTTTTTCTTCCTGCCTCTGACAGCAGCCTGCCTCTCTTCTTCCTTCTCTTGCTCTGATTGATGGCCTCAAATCCCTGGCTTCTTTATGGCTCCCCTGTTTGTCAGCCAGCAGGTTTCTAGTTGTGCCCAAGAAAGCAGCTGGGAGCAGGTTCACACTGACAGCAGGGTGAGGGTGGTCAGTCCTACTGCAGCACCACAAACGGTGCTAAGACCCCTAAGCTGGGGTGGGACCCTGAGAGGGGACTGGGCCCCCAGCAGCATCCAGCTTCCAGAAACCTCTGTTAGGACCACAGCAGCTTATGGGGTACAGCTGTGGCTGATGCACTGTGGGTTTCAGGTATTTCTGGTGTCATTTTATGGGTACTGAGTTATGACTTTTGTTCTCTGGCTGCTGGTCCAGCAAGCTGAGCAATTTGTGTTGCCAGCCCCTTGAGGAGAGCTCAGGAGTCCAGATGGCACTAAATGCCTTCATTCAGGCAATGGAATCCCACTCCATTTTTGCTCTAACATACAAAATATCCAGCAGTCACCTCCCCTGAGATAAACCACAATAGGAGCTGTATTTGCAGTGGAAGAAGACTCCTGCACCCTATCCTTGCATAGCACAACACAACAAGTATGAAGACTGTGCTCTTTGAAGCACAGTTAAGCACACACCTGAGGATTTCAGCTGCTTGGGCTCAAAGTATGAGGGCAGTCTCCATTCCTGTGCTGTATCTTGTCCTAAAAGATCAGAGCAGTAGCAGCCCAAAGGTTTTGGGGTGAGTAGGGATGATGGAGCTGGCTATTCTGCTCCTTAATAACTGCTATGGCATCGCCAGGCCTCTAACCTGTAGGGCAGCTTGGTTTTTTTCCCACAAGAAAGGGATAGATAGCTTTGTTCTGTCCTTCTTCAGTCATCATGCACACCTTTGCCAGCATCTTGAGTTTGTGGCACCAGCTGGGATTACAGAAACGATGCCTTATTGAGGCAGCACTGACAGCTGGAATGGTTTCAGCAGGGTTTCTGTGCAATGGGAGGCCCCGTGTCTAACAGCTGCTGAGCAGTTGAGGGTGTCTCACTGCTTTGGGAGCTATTACTGTAAACAGATTCAGGAAGTCATCAGGGCCTGATGCTTCTTGCTCATGTCTGAAGCCACTCTACTGTCATTGGGGTGTCCTCATTTCAGGTCAAGGTTAATGTTCCAGCCCAGCTGTGTGCTGCATCATTTCCTCTGCTGTGCAGCAGAGTGCATTGCCTCTGACACATGGTTTTGGAAGTCCTGTAGTAATTCTTGGATCCTAGAGTAATTTGTCAGCCAGACTGGCCCTTTGTTACTAGGGCTGGACAAACAGTTGTTTTAAAAATATAAAATTGTCCCAATTACATCCTCACACAACTCCAGCACCTGGATTCCAATGTTTCCCACTGGAATGTTTCCCTGAATAAAAGGTTCCAGTTTGCAGACGAGTGTCGCTGTTGAGGCAAGATGGCAATGAAGAGACTCTGACTCAGAAGGTTGTGAGAGTAAAAACTCAGGTTTATTTAAAACACATTGCTCTTTTATACAGAGCTTTGTGAGGACCAACTCCATTGATCCTGAAGTGAAAACAACCCACACCATTGGTGCAAAGTGCTTGATGCACAGTGATAGAACTTAACTATAAACAATGTGAAAAACAAGAGAGATAAAGAATTATTTACATTCTTCTCCAGCTCTTTCCCAGGTTTCTGCCTGGCTGGAAACTCCCATTTCTCTCTTTGACTGAATCTGAGGCCCACAGAGGAGGAGTGGGCTTACCAAGGAAAGGGTGGCTGTGGTAGTGGTAGTGGTGGTGTGAGCCTTGACTACGTGTGCTATGAGCAGTCCTCATTTGCTTTAGAATTTATGAGCTCCATAATTTACTCAGCCTGTAACTAGAGTGGCACTGGCATGTTTTTGTTTATCTGGTCTTAGAGGTAGAAATAATTAATTTGCTGTCCCTACCAGTTGCCCTTACTTGAGGAAAACCATGCAGGCTTTTCTGCCTCTCTCAGTGCCACCAGTGATAGAGAAACTGGAACCAAAAGGGAGCAAGTTGTTTGCAGGGCATAAGAAGAGACAGAAATCAGTTTTTTCTGTCATAACCTCATTGAGAACTGAAGTGTCTGTTTTGTGCTCTCCATTCTGGGTTGATGGCCTTCCATGCTGTGCTGTCATGCCTGCTGAGTGCTGTTGGTAGCACACAGTGCATCATAAGGAGCTTTTAATAGTTTTTTCTGCTTTAGAGAAAAATCTCTCTCTGATGGGCACAGGTGGAGCAGGATCAACTTCACTTGCACCAAAACACAGGGTCCAGAGGTGGAGTGGGCTGTGGCTCCGAGACCCTTCCACCCACCTGAAGACTCAGGTTCCTCCCCTCACCTGCCTGGTACCCAGCTCTGCTTTACTGGGGCAACTATGTAGGCTACTGCTCTGCATTTTCTTTATTATTCCCTTGTTAGTTCTTTAGTAGAGGTCCGATTTGCTCTTCATTCTTCTATCATCTCATTAGCTGGTGATTTGGGGTTAATTCTCTGTTCTGCTTAATAGCAGAGCCTTTCAAGAGGAGAAACTCTCTCAGATGTGCCTGTCCCTTCCTTTCTTTTTCAGAATCTGTCCCTCAGCCAATCCTCACCGCTGAATGCAGGAATAAAAGTGTATCTGTCAAGTGTGAAGCAAAAGAGAAGGCCAAGAATGAAGCAAAAGAGAAGGGCGAGGATGAAACATTTATAATAGAACTGACTCAACCCAATGGCAAAAAAATCCGAAAGAACGCAACACTGCTGGAATGGCACGGGTGGAATTCAGGGACGTTCCGATGCGTTGCTAAGAACCAAGTCAGTGAAAAAATGGCTGAAAAAGCAATTAAATGCTCAGGTAAGAAATCTCTTTTGTCAGAATGTGCTAGGGTGGACCACTGCTGAGGGCAGTGGCATGTGAGGGGGGTTTTGCTCCTCCCCTTCTCCTGTGGGGAAATCCCTTGTGTTTTTCTCCTCTCCATAATCACGTCTATCAATGTGGTGGCTGCCTGCTACCCATGGGTGTGGATGAGTTCTCTCACAAGGGGAAAAATAAGCTGCTTGGACTCTTCAGCTTGGCCTAGAAATCAGGAGGGAAGTTATGGAGGATTTTTCTTCGGGGTTACATGGGTCAGATAATCATGGCTCAAATGTATCATGGTGTTCCTATTCAGTTAACCACAGATGCAGCAAAAGGACTGAAAAGATTGCATTTTAAATGGGGAGAGTCATGATGAAAGTGGTTCAGCAGGCAAAAGAACCAAAAGTCATCACAGTTGTCTTCCTCCCACGTAAAGGTTTTGCAAGTTAGGGCACAAACAAAGGACAGATCACACTGGTTTGACACTGGGTGTGGTGCTCAGTTCAACGTTCAGAATTCCAATGCAGTGCTGGCAAAAAGTCCTTGAATTTTCCAGACTTGGGTTCATCCCACATATCCAAGTGTGCTCTGCTTGAAGCATTCTCTTACTCTACATTCCTGCTGGAGCTGGTGGAGAGTTGCAGGGCGGGGCTTACAAGAGCTGGCTCAGTATTTCCAATTTTTACCTATTTCTGCCACAGTGAATTTAGGGAAAGTCCAAGTCTGAAGGACAGCCTATGGTGTGAGAAGGGAGGGAGCAAGCCTTAAGGCATAAAGGCTTTACTGAAGTGATCCCAGGTCTGTTGATTCTGACTGAAGGGCAAAGAGCTGAGGGACGGGATGGCCACTGCTCTCCTGTGCAGCTGTTGCCTCCTGAATAATCCTTCTGATTTCAAAAATAGCCAAGCAATGTATTTTTTTGCTGCTGCCTGACTTGATGGACTGCACAGTCCCATTGATGGTAGTATTGGGAAGGGGTGAGCAGGATGTGGCATGGACTTTGGAACCAGGTATGAAAGTGTGCTGCTAGATTAGGTGTGTTTAAGACAGGGCAGACTATCATAAACACCTTGTCTGGATGAGGAAATGCTAGCTGAAGCTGCTCATGCCAGGGCACAAGCCAGGCAAGCACAGCTCTGCCTGCACTGCTGCTATGGGCAGACATCAGCCATCGTCTAGACAATTTTGATTTCACTTTTTCTCACCCTTAAGAAACACTCTTTTTTCATAGGGTGAATTGAGTTGGAGAGTTTGGGTTTTTTATGACATCATTAACAGAGAAATACCAATAATCTTTAAGGTACAAACATAGCAGTTCTCAGACACCAAAAACCCCCTAAGACCATGGAGCACTACTCTTCCTGCCCAAACTAAATACCTCTCAAATTTTCTGTGTAGTGGCAGGACTCTGCCAGCTCCATAGTAGATTAAAAATCCCTCATCCTGCAGTCAAACCTCCTTCTAACCCTGCTGCCCTCTGTGAACACTTGGTCCTGCATTTGAGGCCAATCGCCTTGAATTTTGACCTTTACAGGCAAGGTACATTTCAGGTGGGCTTTTAGCTCAGCCAGCTTTTCATGGAAGTGTAATTATATGTGTATACTATATCATATTATATGTGTATAATCTGTCTGGGCTTCTCTTGCACTCATCTTGAAAAACAGGCATAGAAAAGGCAAAAGACACCTTGGTGTAATGCTGGCAATTTAAAAGCAGTGAGCTGGCATACATTAATGCTCTGGTTTCAATTTTCTGCAGAACTTGAATCTTGGAATTTTAATTTTCTGCAGAACTTGAATCAGGGAGCAATTAAAATTCTCAGCAATGAGGAACAGCAACTTTCTGTTATTTTCAAGTAAAAGGCAAAGAGTGGGGTGTCTACTGGTCTGCCTTTACAGTCAATGGAAGAAAATAGACAATGCTAAGTAGATGTTGTGCAAGTTATTTCTTTCCATCTAACATCCTCTTTCATCCCCTTAACTAGGTAAGATGGACTTTTATCTCATCTTAGGCATAGCAGGAGGTGCAGTCTTCTTTGTCATCTTTGTGATTTGTCTTATTTATTGTATCAGAAGGAAGAAAACAAAAAGGAATGAAGTTTATGGTAAGTGTTTAAGAGGATTTGTTTTGCTATCCAGCAACCTAAAATATTAGAGCTTCCCACTGACAGCAGCCCTGTGGTCAGGAGCATTCTCTCTGTCCTGACACGAGCAATAACCTGGTTTTAGCATATGGTGAATCTTTGTAGATCAGCTGGCATTGCTAGTCTCACTTTCTGATATGTGCTTTGAGAAAGCCACCTGAGTATCATTTTACATTATGGCTGTTCTCTTTTGAGTGGTACAGACCACTGCATCAGCTGTGCAGTGATACCATATCCTCAGTTCTTGGGCCTGGATTCAGCAGGAATTAAGAAAATGAGTCTGAGAAAATGAGAACGAATATTTTAGTGATTATTTTATGGTGACTAACCTCTCTGAAACAGTTTGCTGTGAGTTTAAGGCGAACTCAGTGTCTCAAGAGGTAAATCCCTCAATCCCGACATTGAGTGATATTTCAGAAATGATGAGTCAGTGATCAGAAGTCAGCTGGTGTGAATTTACTTCTTTGTGTGTGAAAATTAATGCTGGCAAATGGGATCTCTGGCTGCCAGTAGTCTGGAAATCCCAGCACAGACAAAGGCAGGGCAGAGTGCTTTGGTGTTGCTTCCTGGGGTTAGATCTTACTTTCCCTTCAATAGCCTCCAAAAGGGGACAGAGCAGCTCGGGCTGGGGGTGTCCATTGATGTCTACTGGGGCCTCCCTGATAAAGCTGGTTCTCCCAACAGACAAGGCAGAGCTGCCCCAAGTGCTCCAGCTACCTTGACCTCTGCCAGGCCGCCAAAAGCTTTCATGTTGGCCTGGCAGGTGCAGGCAGAGGTGATTTTGCTGGGACAACGGGAACACCTGAGAGTGGCAGGTTAAAAACCAATATTTGGCTTTTTCTTGCTTGGGCCAAGGACATTTCTGTGTCTTTTTGACTCCTTGGTGCATGTCTGACTGCGGGGTCCTTGTGCTGTTGCAGAGGAGGAGCGAGTGATGCAGACTCTGCCCATGGAGCGTGAGAATGGGATGCGGGAGCTGCCTCAGCCTCCATCCAGGCCCACCCCGAGGCAGCTGCGAGTGCAGCAGCGGCCGCTGCCCCCGCAGCCCCAGGAGCCCCAGCAGCCACGGCCCCAGCCACGGCCCCGCACGCAGCCACGGACTCCAAACCTCCCGAGACAAAGGCCCTGAGAGACATCCTGGGAGGATGGATGCTGGTCTCTGCTCCACCATTCACTGGGAAAAGAAAGTTCCTGACAGCCAGGAGCCCCTCCTGCCCAGCCCTGTGTAATGCTCAGCTATGAAAAGGCGGCTTTCATTGCAGAAAATTAGAGACAGCACCAAATGGAGATGAGGAGACTCAAAGTGATGGGCATTCATCCCTGTGGCCATTCTTCCATGGGTGTCTTCATGTTAGGATATGGAGCACTCAGCCCTGAAACTGTGTCTTTCTGTGGTTCAGTTGTTTTCACTGCACCTTGTTGTCTTCATGCTTTTTGGATGGTTTTCACCAAGAAGAAGCTAAAGCTCTACTGAGACAAAACAGACCTATGGATTTTACACAATTTCATCTCCTGCTACACAGTAGGACAGCTCTCTGGCTTCAGCATCAAATACATGGCCTCCTGGAACAAAAATTAGTTGTATGTAATTAAATATTTGTAAGAAGTTGAAAGGATTTTTGTCATATAATGCAGAGAAAAAAAATATTGAAAGGACGTGTGAGAACATTGAAGGACCTGTGTCGGAAAAACACAAATGAGAAAGGGAGAACTTTTTCCTTTTCTACATTTCCCTTTCTTCACTGTGTTTAGAAAAGAAACTGTAGGCTTGAATTGCAGCAGTTAGGTCAGTATTTATTTTTGTTTTTAATGAAACACTGAGAGAGATTTCTGGGAGAGGTTCTCCAGCATTGGGGTTTCAAAGAGTGGGTGAGAAAACATTCTGTGAAGCCTTTTTGTTCTGACAAGGGCCAGGAGAACATGCTACACCGCCTCTTCAGGGACAATTTAAACTCAGTCTTCTGTGACTTTTAGGCAAATAAAGCAAACCTTTATTCTCAGCATAAGACTGTGTGGCTATACAGACAAATTTTCTTTTGCTTAGGAGAGATCTAGTCTCCTTTGGCATGTGGAACAAAGCATTATAAACTGCCAGCCAGTAGGATTACTGGTGGCACTGTGTGAATTGTCAGGGGTTCACATCTCAGGGTCTCCTGCTGAGGGCGAAGGACTGTGTCTCTTGATTTTGCTGGTAACACCTCAGGTATAATCAGGGGATGGTGAGAGCTGCTGAGAGATCTTCATCCCCAAGGGAGAAGTTGGACTGCAGTAAGTGCACCTGCACCACCTTCCACGTGCTGGACGCTGCTTGCTCTTCTGGGCCTTGGGGTGTCCATAAGTGCCTCTGCAGGACAGCTGAGGAGCTGAGAGCACAGGCATGGTTTAGAGCAGTGTCTGCATGGGTACACTGACCCATCTGGGGTAAAAGGCAGGGCAGGTGAAGGAGGAGAGAGCTACAGGAGCCACAGAGCACGAGACATCCAGCCAGCTAGCTGATGTGTCAGGCAGAAGAGCACCCAATGCCTCCTTCAGACTGGCATATCCCACAGCTGACAGGGGATATAAAACAGCCATGCTTTGTTTCTCCTGAGAAATATGACTATTTTTATTTTCTGGTATAAGGGCAAGGAGGCAACTTGTCATGAAAAGGAAGCCTCTGCCTCCTCTAGAGTTCTGTCGCTTCACTTGAACTCTGACAGTGGGAACAGCCCTGGGAGTGCCACTTGCTCTCTTGCCTTCGCTTTCTGCAGCTGATTTTTGGGCTTTTGCTGTTTAAAATTGCATTTGGTAAATGTTTCATGGTTTATTTTGTAAAATACCATATGCTATACCCCTGTACTGAATAAATAAAGAGAAGACTGGGTGCAGAGGATCTTAGCTCACAGCTGTGCTGGTACTTCAGTATCTCACTTTGATACAAAGGCGGCAACAAAAACATTTTGGTCCCCAAGCCACAGAAGCAGAGATGCAGGAGGTGTCACACCATCCCTGGGAGGTGCTGGGGTGCCAGGAGCTGGTGGGTTCAAGCTGGTGTGGGTGAACACAGCTGCTCTGCCTGTCCTGTGCTACCAGAGGTTTACTGGTGCTGCTCTGTGGTTACAGGTGTGGGGGTCCTTTCTGGGAGAGAGGGAGGATTACTGGGGCCTGAGAAAGAAGATTTATCCCTATTTGGTTTATTTACCCCAAAACACAGTCCTTGGCAGGCAAGAAAATGCTACTAGCACAGAGAATACCTGTGCAATGGAAAGCTCACCAGGGCAAAAATTATTTTTTATTTACTCCTTTTCTTTTTAGTCACCATTGTTTTTATGATGTCTCATTGTACAAGTATTGTCCACTGCAGCACATCAGGAACAAACGTGAAACATCACAAAAACAATGATGAATATCAATGCTCCATGACACATTCAGAAAAAATGCTGGCTTTTCAAACAAGCACCAAACAGAACTTAATTTTTCTGAATGTGTGTTGTGGGGCATTCATATCTCAGGCTTTTATGCTGTAGTGGATGTTGCAATTCTGGAAAATGAGCTGACATTGGGAACTACGACATAACAGGATGTGCTTGGCTCTGATGGTTCTTGCTGTAAGCTTTCTTGGTTCTTCTTTTGTAGATGCATCTACCACTGAGTCATGAGATGAAACGTTTTTTCCTACTCTTCTTAAGGGGGATGAGATGAGATGAGATGAGATGATCTATGCTGGTCTTGTCCTTCTCTGCCTGCTGCCTTGTCCCCCTGTTTGAGAGCTGCAGTTTCTGCTGCCTGGGTATTAGCTGGGGTCAGTTTTGCTTGGTGATGTGCTCCAGAGCCAGTGCTGAAGGAATGGGAGGGAGGCTCAGCCCCGTGATCAAAGCAGGTCTGTAGTTGTGCTGTGGTCCTGTAGCACTCACGAGATGGGCAGACTGAGCAGGCACCCAAAAGGGCAGTGGCTGGTTCTGTGGAAGATACAAATCTTCTATCCCAGTATTAATCCACGTGAAAACAGCAGCACTTGCTGCCCAAATTTGGCCTTTCTAGTAAAGTAGCCAGAACCTGCTTGTGCCTCTATTGGCCTCTCCAGAGGGAGGTTCTTAGGCTTCTGCCACAGGCAGTGTGGGACACGGCTAGATAATTTAATTTCTAAACTAAAACTCTGAGTAAAAAGGTCAAGTAGAAAACCATAGCTGGTACAAACCTTTCTTGAGATGTTTGCCAAAGTGATGCCATGGGGAAAAGACACTGATTTTGTCCTTATTCTGCAACAGATATTCAGGTGCTGCACCTACTAATGTAAGAGATCTGGCCTCGGGATTTTGGATAAGATCAGTTTGTAGTAGCTATCAAGCTCGTGAGATACTGCTTCTGGGCAACCCTATGTCATGCTGTGGGAAGAAAGATAAGGGTTAATTGAAGGAAAGCACAGTAAGAAGCCCTGTGCCAATGAACTGGCCTCCTGGTCTCCTCTGCCAGCCTTAGCTCAGAAAAGGAGTGCCAAACCCAACCTTTTCACTCTCTTCCCCAGCAAATTGTTTCTTCCCTCCCTGCAGATGGAAGTTTACCACAGGACCTTTTCTCATCCTTCCAGCCTGGCTGCCTTGGAGCAGCAGAAGCATGGGAGCCTTCCCCCCCCTCAGAGGTGCAGCTTCAGCCTTTACCCTTTCAGAGAGGTGCCAGATCAGCTCTTGAGGGCCTCTGGTGCTTGCCTCAAACTGAAATTCCCCTCAGCTCTGCTCCAGCCCCCTCACCAGAACTGTTCTTCCTTTGTGAGGGGGAGTTGCTTTCCCCCTAGGAACATCAAGGACACAGGTGAAGGAGTTTTCCCAAAGCTTGACATGGCTGCTGCTTCCCTGGACCTTCTGGTGGAGCTGGGAAGGTGCAAAAAGGAGCTGTGAGCAGAAAAGAGCAGGCATGTGAGGAACTACCTCACACAGTGATCAGTGAAGCATCTGCCAGCTCCTGTCCAGGGCTTCCAGGCTGGGGTTCAGGGGCAGAGAAGGAGGGCAGGGATCAGCTGAGCTGGCCCAGTGAATAAGCCAGGCTCTGTGCATGGGGCATACAGGGCAACAGGGCAGGTGAAGAGAATGGGCAGGCACAGAAATGGCTCCGTGAAGAGATGAGCTGGGTGATCAGGAAGCAAGATTTGAGTCACATAACTTTGTCACACTCTCAGCCCTGGGTTGTGGCTTTTCTTTCTGCGCTCCCATCTGAAGTGTGATTTACCCTTTGGGCATGAGTTGCCTGCCTTGCTGGGTCTCCTGCGTCCCCCTCCTTTTTTCATCTGAGGACCAGCTGCCTTGTTCTCACCTTCTCTGACACTTCCCACCATCACTGTCTATTCTAATTTTCCTTTCCTACAGAATGCCCACTCTGGATTGTTCCTTCTTCCTCTTTGAATGACACTTCAGGACTCCACCTATGCATGTCAGCGTGAGGGAGGAGAGGGGACTTCCAAGGTGTCCTCATGGTTTCAGAGCATAGTTCCTCACAATCATGCCTACCCTGAGAAACCCCTCTCCAGATTGCTTTGCTGTTGGCTGCCTTTGCCAGTGCTGTCAGGAATGATTCCTGGCTCTGGAAGGAACCTCTTGGCTGCCTTCTGCCATGAAAAGTGCACAGCCTGGGCCTGTTCCCCTTTCTGAGTCTCACTGGGCATGGAGCCCATGGTGCTGTGAGGCCCTGCTAGGGCGGTGTTTGATCCTGCCCACCTGCCTGCCACCAGCATTGACCCCAGTGAGGTGCCAGAGCCTCGTCTGCCTTTGCTTTGGCTGCTATTGTTCGACAGTTTCTGCCTCGGGTGCGTCTGAAGCGTAGTTTTGAGATAACCGGAAAAGATAACGCCACAACGGAGATGCTCATTGGTTGTGTTTCCCACACACTCTTTCTGCCTACATAAAAACAGCAGGCAAGTGTTTTGAGCTGCTGCCTGACCTCCCACACAAATACCTGCTTTCATTTCCAGCCCTTTGGTGTGGCACGGGGCAGGCGAGCGAGCACGGTGCAGAGGCAGAGGGGTGTGAGGAGAGACAAGCTTGGTGCTGTCACTGCTGTCCACTGAGAGGAACAGCTCTGAAACAGCACTGAAACAGCACTGCCTGCAGGCATCCCCAGCTGCATGTCCCTGTGTGCCACCCCCTGCCTCAACAGCAGTGAAATGGGGACAGGCAGTAAGGCTGGTGCATTTGGACAACCGGCCCTTGTAGAGCCACAGGATGAAATGTCTGGGACTGCTGCTCTTAGCAGCCAGAATTAGGCAAACCCCTCTTCCTCTTAAAGCCAGGGTGAGCTTTCCCATGAATAATGGCAATGAAATAAAGGCATGCTTGTTTACCAACAAGCTCCTATGGAAGGGTGCCCTGGTCTCCAGCTTTTCTTTCATAAAACATGCATGCACATCACGTGCCTCCACGATGGGCTCTTTGCAAAGCCTGCGTCAGTCCCTTTCCCATTTGGCTGGCTGCCCCAGACCCCGCTGTGCTTGTTTGCTGGAGGATCCTGCTGGGCAGTTCCTAGAAAGGAACTCTGTGCCAGGGCACTGGGGGCTTGCCCTGCTCTGTCTTGGCTCTGCTCTTACTCCTGACTCATCTCACAATGACTGGTGTGTCCCGTCTGTCCCTTGTGACTTGCCCTGCCCTGAGCAGTAGGCACATGGCAAACCAGGGAGAGCAAGGGCAGTCTGTAGGCTTGGGATGCCCCTGTCTGCCCCTTGGGATGCTCGTATTCCTGCTGGGAATGGGATTTCTCCTCTTGTATGAGAAGGGAGCAGCTATCAGTTTGTGCTGGCACTGCTGTTTTCCTCCATCTCTGCTTTCCTGGAATTTTTACAGCTGTTAAAGGCACCACCTGAGGGAGCTGTGTCTCCGGGAATGGCTGCACAGCACCGGGCTGCACCAACAGCAAGGGCGACTGCCAGGCCCCTGTGCTGCAGACACAGCGGTCACTGCAGTGACCAATTCTAGCTGGCTTCAGTGATTTCAGCAGCCAGGCCACTGTAGCACATGGAAGAATGAGGATGTGGTTCCTGCTGCTGGTAGGAAGTGCTGGTATTTCAAACCCAAAATTCAACCAGGAAACCCTCCAATGCTCTTCTGCTGACCTTACAGTTTCTACAGACTCTATTTTACTTTTAGCCATTTATAAATGACAAAGCTTAAGACAAGACCAGCTTAGCCTAAAGCTATCCACTGCAAAAGAGGAACTAAGCAACATGGAGATTTTTAAAAAGCACTGTCGAGACGGAAACTTGTCTGCACAGCAAGTGACTTGTAGGAGCTTTAGGCCCTGTAGTAGAAATTAATGCCAAGTGTTGAAGGAGTTGATCAGAATGCAAAGTTTTCCAAAGGAGGGTGTGTTTAATAAGGAAGAAGGGGTGGAAATAAAAGGTGTCCCATCCTGTTTCTTTCAGACATCTTGTCTTGCCTAGAAATTCAGGTTGCAGGTGGGCTGCCTTGTCTGATGCTGCAGAAAACATCAAACATGTCCCTGACTGTTGCTGCCAAACTACACTCTCTTATCAGTTTCATTCTTGTCCTTCTCACCTCTCTTCCTTGGCACAGGTACAGTTTGGCTGGGCTATGTTCTAGGGAAAAGAGGCTGGACATGAGTGTCCCTGAATATCAAATGTTACCTGCAGTAGGCCTCCCCGTTGATGTTGGGAACATCACATCAGGAAAACTGGATTTCCCTTAAATTGGAAAACCTCCAAACTGCATCTCTGAAGAGCCACAGGTGCCAGGGTTAGAGGCAATGTCAACAGTGTGAGGAGAGGCATTTCAGGATGGTAACCACAGAAGAATCAGCTGTGAATCTCCTTTGTCTCAAAGCATCTGTGCTAGGATAGAGCATCTGTGACAGAGCACCTTAGGCAAATGCAGGCGTGATGTCTTATCTAGAGATGA